CTTGTAGCTAATAAAGTGGATAATCTCACTAAGACGATGCAAGCATCTGGCTCCTCATCTACACTTCTTCCTAAATATTCACTGATGATTTTTCCCCACTCTACATATTCTACCTATGACGATTTGTTTCTATTTCTCCTTAATTAGTTCTTTTATCAGTGGTGGGGGATAAACGCAGGGCCCCATTTATGCTCTGTGAGTACTCTACCACTGACCTATATCCTTAGCCAATTTATTTCAGAATGGATGAATGAATTCCTTTTAAAAACTTGAACCTAGCCGGGTGGTAGTGGCACATGCCTTTAATCCCAGCACTCGGGAGGCAGAACCGGGCAAATCTCTGTGATTTTGAGGCCAGCCTGGTCTAGAGAGTGAGATCCAGGATAGGCACCAAAACTACACAGAGAAACCCTGTCTCGAAAAACCAAAAACCAAACCAAAACAAAACAAAAAACCTTGAATCTATTTGATACTTAGAAAGGAAACTGATGTGACATTGGACAAGGAATCTTTCTTTCCATTACATCTGAAAAGTTATACTTAAATTTCCCATAAGGGAACTAGAATGTAATTCACTTACTTGGAAAAAAAACCCTATCAGATAAATGCAATCATCCAAACTTAGAGGAAGACATGAAAATACACAAAAGGACTCTCTGTTAAATAAATGGTCCCAAAGTCAGAGCTGTTTTAGTATTTGGTTTTGTTTAAAATACTGTTTATTTGGTTTCCCAGGCTACTCTAACATGCTACACGGCAACTCAGGGTGTGTGTGTGTACATGACTAGAGTAGTGGGGACATAACAGGACAGCCGAAAACTCAGTTCTCAGTGCCAGAGCTGCGAGAAGCCCACAGGAACAGAAGGCTGCAAGAAGCCTACAGGAACAGAAGGCCGAGACTGTCCCCAGAATGGTTACAAGAGTAAGCATTGTAAGTTCCTGAGGCCATCTTGTGTCACAGCTTTTGATTTTAATCACATTACCGCAGCTGGGTCATCAGGAAAAGGTTCAGCTACACTGTGCTGTTTTCTTGTGATACCATAGATCAAACCCAGGGCCTAGAACATGCTAGGCAAGCACTGTACTTCTGAGTTACAAGCTGTATTATATTGTATTAGTTTAAAGCAAAATGTGGTGAAATTTCTAAGGAAAAACAAATCAATAAAAATGGTTTAAACCGTTTCTAGTACTTCAAGATGAAAACCCAGTTTATCTAGAATAACTAATTATAATCAACCTTCAATGACTCCTTCAATAACCATGTCAGACGGAGGAGGCGTTGCTGAAACTGCCTTTGATAGTGAAAACAATTTAAAACACATTTATTTACACATAAACTTGCCCTAAAGGGACTTCCAGGGAAATATTAATCATTGAGTAAATAAATCTCTGCTGACGCATGCCCGACACAGAACTGCTCCTGTAGGGACCAAATAAGTTGTAAGTTCCTTAGTATGGCGCTCAATTAGAATGCTCTGTTTAGCCTTGTCCTTAGTACCCTGACTATGGCATGTCTTTCTCCACTGGGAGTCCGGCAGACTCTCTTCTATCTGTGCGTTCATTTTCTGCAGAACTACCTCTTCAAAGTCCTTTCTCCTATCTGCCCCTCATGGGAATTATGGATATTCTGTTTTGTCTATATTTTATATCAGAACGTTGGAAAAATAACTGATATGTCTCTTCAAGATGCCCGCCTGATTTGGTGTTGACAATGAGATGAATTGTTTGTTGATATGTTTTTTTGCTCTAACGGTGTCTTGCCTTTGGAGCACTCATTTTCTAGCTAAATGGGTCCCTTGGCTTACCCCTTGGACGTAATGTAATGCATAGTAATAAAACTGTTACACAATGGTCACTCCCCCGAAATGACTTTTAAGCATATTGAATTCTTATCGATTTCTATTTTATATAATAGCATTTCTGTTGTCTCCATTAGCATTTTTTGTTCTAAGACTGTGCATATTTCCTCTTTTGGCAAAAGCAAATGGGACTCATAAAGCAACTTACAGAACTGTAAAAAAATAGTGCTCTGGTAAAGAAAATTTGTTGCAAGTAGTCACTGCTTTATTTACATATAAAAGGATGGGGAACACATTTTGAAATAACTCAGTTTATAAACAACAAAAACATAAAGCTTTTTCTTTCTTTTCTTTTCTTTTTTTTCTTTTTTCTTTTTTTTTTTTTTTTTATCGTTTTGGCTTTTGGAGTTGGGGTCTTGACTGTAGCCCAGGCTGGCCTGGAATTGAAGCCGTCCTCCCACCTCAGCCACCTGAGCCCTGGGATTACAGAGCAAGTACCACACCCAGCTTTCTTGTTTTATCATTTTCTGTGTGCACAGGTGGGCAGAGGGCCGCTCTCACCTTCCGCCTGGTTGAGGCAGGGTCTCTCATGTGCACAGCTGCATATTCCAGGCTGACTGGCCAAGAGCTTCCAGCCAAAAGTCGCCTGTTTCCACCTCATTTCCCTGCAGGAGTTCAGGGATTCCGAAAGTGTGTCAAGTTTTGGCTTTTGACTTGCCATCTAGGGATTGAACTCAGGTTCCCAGGCCTGCACGGTTAACAGTGCCTTTGCCTCCTTACTCATCTCCCCAGCGTCCACAGCTTTTTATTCATACAGGAATTCTCAACTTTATCAAGTTCAGAAAAATTTTTACCGAACTCTTAAGGTTAATAAAGTGTGACTTTTGCAGGCTGTCAACAGGAGCAACAAACACATTGTGAGTGATGATTGCAAATCCAGACATTTTGTAGACACAGGCATCTACCAATGTACATGATGGACGAACTCTTGGGTTTCTCTCTTCAAAGTCTGAGCTATTGCTTTTACAGTAAACTGTGAAAATTACTGGCAGATGCAGACACATGGGCTCATTTGTTTTTATGAAGCCCCAGTTCAAGTTTAAACTAAGTGCAAGACATTTATACCAAAGAGAATTCCCAGATTTCCCCCAGTTTACTATTTTAAAAGCAGTTAATAACTTGGGATAATGGTGTATGTATATATAAAATTATATGTATTGTTGTTGGCACATAGCCAACCATTTTTTCCTTAATCTCTTTTTAAATCGGAAATTAGAACCTTTACTCAATAACTGAAAGGTCTTCCCCCCTCCAACAGTTACTTCAGTCTGCCCACTGTTTCTTGGGGACTGGAGGGAAATAGCATCCAGGGGGAAACTCCTACATCCTCATGCACTTGAAGCCTTCTTGCCAATCACTTGGTTCTGCTCCCCTCCGTGCCCCTTTCTTTAGTCTATTCTCAGCAGACATTTTCTGACAGTTTGTTTTTCTTCTTCTTTTCTGGTTTCTGAACTTCTCAGTGATTTCATCACTACTGGAGAGACTTTCAAAGTAAAATGGAATAAAATCCAACACCAGCCTTTATTGCTTTTTCTTGCATTGTTTTTATCTTAACACCTACTTTTGCACGGGGAGGGGGGGGTGATTTAACCAAGGGGTAGAAGGAGGATTCTACCTTCTCCAACTTCATAAGACCTTCAGGAGGCAGTCAAAGGGGCAGTCGTTAGCTTTCTCCTGCGTGAAAGAGCAATCCCTTCGGTTTTAGTTATTATATGGAGGAAGGAACAATTCTGGTCCCTTCACAATCTAGTCAGTGCTGCTACAGAATTGTAATCCCCCCCCCCCATTCTATTGCACGTTGCCTGGAAGAGGCCTGCATCTGTTCCAGAATGACCTAATGATACACCTAGGTGGCTCACTGAAAACCTTCCACTAAGTCACACTGCATCAGATGGTGCTAATTTTAAGTAGGCCACCTAGGTGCACCCTGCGGAAACAACACCCTTCCATCCCCTTTCCTTCGCAGGAAAGAATTCACAAGGTCCACCTGGAACTCATCAGTCTGGGACGGGGGCGCGGGGGTGGGGGTGGGGGGGTGGGATGCCAAATTTCTATTGTTTTGTTCATTCAACCAAGGGCAGTCACCCCGCTTAGCACCTACAGAGGCCTACCCAACACTTCCGGCATGTTAATGTGCGAGAGTACTGACTCCATCATTTACGATCTCCTCCGCGCTGTGGGGTGACTCTTCCCATCTGCAGCCCCTTCACTCGTCCTGCCGCGACAACTGAGGACGCCGCCTGCGTGGGCTGGGGTATCTGATCCCGGGACCCAGCAAACGTTTCCTGACTTTTTTTTTGTTG